TCCTCCTCCTCCTCCTCTTCCTCCTCCTCCTCCTCCTCCTTCTTCTCCTTCCCTTTCCCCTTCTTCTTCGTTTTGTTTTGTTTTTTCAAGACAGGGTTTCTCTGTGTATCCCTGGCTGTCCTGGAACTCACTCTGTAGACCAGGCTGGCCTCGAACTCAGAAATCTGCCTGCCTCTGCCTCCCAAGTGCTGGGATTAAAGGCGTGCGCCACCACCGCCCTGCCTCACCAGCCTTCTATACCACTATCCTGAGTTTTTTCTTTTTGTAGCTGTATAATACACTGCATGTATGCCAATGCAGTTTGCACTATCCTTCCCAAATGAATGCGTTATCACACATTTTCTGTTTTTGCCAGCCTGCTAGGTAGCAAGTATTTCATCATCTGGTTTCTTTTCTTTCCTTCCTCTTCCTTTTTAAAAATTTATTTATTTGTTTTGACTGTGATAAGGATTTTAAAACTTTTTAAAAACTAAAGTTTTTTTTTTAAAGATTTTTATGTACTTAAGCTGATCAAGTCTTTGTTTTATGATTTCAGAATTTTTGGTTGTAGTTAGAAACACATACTTTATTTTTGATATGGTGTTAACACTTTGAACTCATTCTTTCCCTACTTTGTGAATTCATGGTTGACCTAGCATGATTTCCTATAGAACCTGTGTTTTCTGCATTAAGTTTTCAGCTACAATCAATTATCTTTCTATATAGTTCCTTTATAGAATTATTTTGATTCTCATTATAATTTTGTTGTTTTGTTACAGGATTTCTCTAGAGCCCTGGCTGTCCTGGAACACACTATGTAGCCCAGGCTGGCTTTGAACTCACAGAGATCCTCTTGCCTCTGCCTCCTGAGTGCTGGGATTAAAAGTGTGTGCCCCAACTCCTGGCTTATTATGCTATTATTGAGGTGCTAAGAGCATAACCCAGGACCTCATGTATGCTAGGTAAGAGCTCTCCTGCTGAGCTGCAGCCTCGCTTTTGGATTCTTATTCTTTCTTGTGAATACTGTGTGATCAGAACTACACAGTACAAATACAAAACGACAATTGTGTTTTGGTATCCCAGTGTCTATTTGACTTTGCCGTTGCCCAAAGGCTGGGATTAAGCTCCCTTTCACATGAGTTAAAGAAAATATTTAATATAAGAAGGGAAAAATTAGTTTGAAAATATAATTTGAAAATAGAAAATCTTGTGTTTATATAATTGTTAATTGCAGAAGATTGATGGGCTACAGAACTTGAGAGTTAAAGGTATTTTGTACCAGAGTTGATGGCTACTTTTGACCAGCTGAGACAAGTCAGAAGAATGCACATATCTTATGGTTAATGTCATTTCTCTCTTTCTCTGTACCCTATTGTGTATTTTAGGTGTCAAACATATGACAACCCTTAATTTTCAGAGTTTAATTCTGTGTAAATGTTTAAAGAAACTCATTCTCTTTCTATTTTTAGCTTTAAAAAAGTTTTATGAGTGTTTTGAATGTATGTCTGTACTGCATGTGTGTCTAGTACACACAGAGGCCAGAAGAGGGGCATCAGATCCCCTGGAACTGGAATTATAGATGGTTGTGAGCCACCATGTAGTTGCTGGGAATCAAAGCTAGGTCCTCTGACAGTGCTCTTAACCATTAAGCCGTCTCCCCAGTCCCCTCTCTCTTTATTTTGGTATTGGAATCAAACTCAGGGCTGTGAATGTGCTGTGGTAGGTAAGCATTCTATGACTTAGCTTCATCCCTAAGTCTTCTGACTCTTTTTAAATATGTCACCTTTCTGCACTAGTCTAATACAGCTTTACAGTTAAGAAAGGATATACTGCTTTTCTAGGAGCCTTGGGTTCGGTACCCAACACGCACTCGATGACTGACTCACCCCATCTGTAACTCTAGTTCCAGGGGAGCCAATGCCTTCATCTGACCTTTGTGGACACTAAGCTCAAATGTGCTGCATATATGCAGGAAAAATACCTATCACATAAAATAAAATTTAAAAAAATACAAAAAAATTGAATGATGAACAGACATTCCATATGCTATTGAAAACTAGAAGAAGCTTTAGAAGTTAGTCACATGTGGACCATTTTAACTTGTAGAAGTGAATTCATTATGATTATTTAAGAGTATTGCTTTAGTCTAAGGTAGTAAATCAGTCAGCTAATGTATGCCTTCACCTTAAGTGGGGAAAAACTTTGAGTTCTTTTATTTAAGAGTATTTTTTTCTTGGTCTTGGAGCATGTGCTTCTGGGCCTGGCTAGCTGTGTTTGGTCCCCAGGACCCACACAGTGGACGGAGGGAAGATGATCTCAGGACCCACACAGTGGACAGAGGGAAGAGGCTCCTGGAAGTTGACTCTGCCCCCACCTGTGCACTGTGTTCCACTTAGTAAGGAAGGCACAGACATACACATGCACACATTCTAAATAAATAAGTAAACACAGAAGCAAAGCAACCGCAAGTAGTTTTTCATTTTTTTCTATAGGTTTTTAACTCCTGGTGTTCTAATAAAGATGTACAAATGTGTCTCTCTTAGTTACTTTCTGTTGCTGCGATTAGACACCATGACCAAGGCAACTTAAAAAGAGTTTATTTTTGGCTTCATTTTAAAGTAATGAAGGTTTACTTGAGTCTTAGTGACAGTATTTAGAACTTACAACAGTATAGGCTGTCCTCATTGTTGCCTGTGTAGTTTCACTGAGGTCACCCCTGTTCATGAGTCGTGTCCTAAATGAACGTTTAATAAGAGTGACACCTTCCTGTCTACTGAATGTGGCTCACGGGAGCACACAGCCGGCATCCGTAAAGTCTTTTATTGTGTGTGTGCTTTGGTGTCTTAGGAAGACCAACATGATTTCCTGTAACTATAAAGAGGTTTTATGTCTGCTTTTGTAGCACAGTGATATGCTCCTTGTTTATTAAATGTCAGGAAGTATTACCAGAGTCTTTTAGTGTAGAAGTCAAGAACCCTGCTTAGTCCTCAGAGACTTCATCCTGCTTCCCGTAGTCAATGTGTGCTTATTCTCTCTTGCTTCTAGACCAAGAGCAATGATGACCTTTTAGCGGGCATGGCTGGAGGAGTAAACGTGGCTAATGGTGTTAAAGCCAAGAAGAGCACCTGTTCGTCCGCAGCGCCTTCAGCACCGGCCCCCACCATGACCGTCTCGGAGAGCAAGTCCAAGATTAGCACAGGTGCGGCCGGGGTCTCAGTCCTGGGCTCATCGCTTCCGCTCGTGCTAGGCTTCCCTAGCCTAGGCTCCCCACTGTCCCCCACCTCTTCCTGCCCTTTCCTCTTCCATTCCAGCTCAAACTCCACTATTAGTTCTAATGGTCATGTGGTGTGACTGACAAGAGGGAGTGTCTCCGTCCTTACTTTTTGTAAGTGGTGTTTTACTTGATCCTCAGTGAGCTTTTGAAGTACAGACTGCGTTTTCCTCACTGTAGATTTGAAGTAACGATGCTGAAGCTTAGCCTCGCTAAAGGCCATCTATTCAGTTACTTGATAGGAGTTTCTTGGAAACTCATTTTGTACCAGGCTATAAGGGTACAAACATGGTGGTGGAGCATGGTTTGTGCCTTCACTATGTCACTTCCAAGTCCTGCTCACATTTAACTAATGCCCTACTCACAGGACAGGGGCCTTGAGATGGAACACTCTAGAGCCAGCACCTCTTTTATGGCTGAGCCTGGGCCATTCTGTTGTGCACAAGTGGTTTCCTGTTGGTGTTGCATCTAACCTCAGACTTCATTTATTACCTCCTAGGATTAGATGTTCCAGTTCAGATTTGTATGTCCAAGTGGGTTTACACAACAGATATTTATTATTCTATAGTCTGTAAGTCAAAGTATTGGCAGTTGTGTTTTCTCCTGAGGTCTCCCTGTCTCACATTTGGCTGCTTCCTCAATGTGTCCCCACAATGTGTCCCTCTGCTTTTGCCCTAATGCTCTTTTTATAGACATAAATCACACTGGATAAGAGCCACCCTAACACCTTGTCTTAGTCAGTCTTCTGTGGATGTGTAGAGATACCATGACCATGGAACTGCTTACAAAAGAAGACATTTAATTAAATGAACAGTTTCAGAAGTTGAGTCTATTGTCATCAACACAGCAGGAAGCGTGGTAGCACGCAGGCAGGCATGGTGTTGGAGTAGTAGCTGAGAATTCTACATCTGGACCAGCAGGCAGCAGGGAGAGAGACAGTGTCCAAGCTTGGGCTTTTGAGACCTCAAAGCCCTCCCGCAGTGACACACATCCTCCCTAAGTGTGCCACTCCCTAAGCACTTAACTGTGAACCTGTGGGGGCCATTTTCACTCAAACACCACACAGCTCTGTGTGAATTGAATCAATTGATCGAATTACTGTGTGCAAATACAATCACATTCTAGAGGCCACAGCTTAGGCTTAGACGTATACCCTTCAGGGGACCTGGTTCAACCCCTGCAGCATCCTTGTTCTTCAGTTCATTGGCTGTCTCATTCTCTCTTCCTGAGGCTACCCTAAGGCTGTTTGATTTTCGTGTCTAAGTGAGGCTGCTCATCCGCTTTGAGCGATTCTGCTTCTTAGGTCAGTTACCAGAAAGGCTGCTGCTCTTTTCCATTTTGTCTGTCCTTCTAGTCCTCTGTGTATCTCTCTCTTTCCTTACCTTCTGTGACTGAGTCGGTCCTTGCCTTCATCTTAATGTCTGTTCCTTTTGTTATCCAGTCATCCACATTTTATTTTTTTAAATGAGAAGGGCCTTTTGTGTTGGTAAGAATGACCGTACCAGTCCTAATGTTGTGGAAGGCTGCATCATTCTCTTCTTCCTTGGTTATCTTTTTATATTTGTTTTACTGTCCCCTTTTCTCTGCCTTTGAAATTTGCCACAGGCCTTCTGTCTATTTCATCAGTGTCGTCATTGCCACTAGTGCTTCCTTTCTCACTAGTGCATAGGACAACTTTGTATCAGTCAGGGTTCTCTACAGAAGCTGAATGGATAGAGTGAATATGTATAAATAATACAATACAATATAAACATGTATTTTTGTGTAAGAGCTTATTAGAATGGCCTACAGGCTGTGCTCTAGGTAGTCCAACCATGACTGTCTCCCAATGGAAAGGACAGGAATCCAGTAGTTGTTCTGTACACAAGATTAGACGTCTCAGTGTCTCTCTCAGTCTGCACTAGAGTTCTCGAGACTGTTTGATCCTGAAGTGGTAGGTTCTAATACCAGTCTTGGCAACACGATGTATGACTTGCCAGAGAGTGAGGACAAGGAGGCAAAGGCACAAGCTGCCATCAGAAGGTGTGGCCCACCTCAGATGATTCAGTCTGGTTGGGTTTTAGTTGATTCCAGATGGAGTCAGCTTGGCAACCAAGATTTGCTGTAACTGTCTTCTAGATGAATTTCACAGACATTCTCTTTTCCTTGTTTCGTTCTTGCTCAAGAATCTTTATTGACTTGCAGTGACTCCCTGAAGTCTGCCAATGTCTAGGCCTCCAAAGACACGCCCTGAAAACACTCGTTGAATGTTTTATCTTAACGTTGTGTGCCATGCTCACTTCTCCTTTCTTGTCCTTGTCTCTGGACCAGCCTGACTTCTTTCTTGTCTCTCTTGATTCTTCAGTAAAGTGGATGAGCCACCAGTGCTGTCAGCGAGTGGCTCTAGAGGCTGTATCTTGGCCAGCAGGCAATATTGCAATATTGTCTCTTTGTAAAACAGTGTGTTATACTCACTAATTACATTTGTTGAACAGAATGTACTTTGTGGGAAGAGGGTTGAGATGGAGCCTTACCTTTTAGTCCCAGCAAGCCAGGGACTCCCTGTGTTACACCTTCTTCCTGTTTCTGCCTCTAGAGTGTTGGCGTTACAGGCTTGTACTACAGTGTCTAGTATGAGCATTTTTTTTTAACTGCCCATGTTTTAAGCCTTTAAAAACAACTGACATGATCATTTTATTTGATGTAAAAGAAATAAAAAAAAAAAACCCACGAACAACAAAATATTTTTTACTTTAAAAAACAAGATGTAGACCTGGTTGTGAGGTCCTGTGTCCTCACTCTCACGCTGTCCAGTGGACTGAGCACAAGGCCTCACACATGCTAAGCACGTGTGCCACCGCTCACCTCCAACTCCAGTCTTCTCTCTACCCTTGCATTTTGAGGCAGGCTGAACTGTCCTGCTGGCCTCAAATGAATTCTGATCCACATGCTGGCCTGGAATTTGTGATCGTACTGCCTTAGCCTCAGAAGTAGCTTGGATCGCAGCCTGCACACCACCAGGCCCAACCAACTGGAGTATTTTTAAGGAACTGCCATTTTATGTAGTGGACCACAAGGCTCTAGAGGGATGAACAACTTTGTGATACAGGAAGATAGTCACCTATGGGCTGTTGTGCGTTTTGTAGCAGCTCTGCAGTTATAGACTGGAATGGGGATATCATTACCTCAAAGTTTTACTGAATCTTTTATAAATTAATGCCTGTGAATTTATCTCCTCTCCCTGGTTGTAATGATTGGACGTAGAGCCTTGCACATGCTACACAGACACTCTGCTTCCCTCCTAGACTGCTCTGAAGTTTTCCTGTGTGCACATGGAATAATATGGAATAAACCTAAAAGTTCTTTGTTCTCTAGAGCTTTTGTTACTACTGATGTGCCAGTGTGGGATCGGAACTTTGCATTTACTTTGGTTATCACTCTCCTGTTTCTCGTAGTTTGCCCAGACTTCGGGTTTATTCTGAGGCTGGCTTTCCTTTCACGTTGATCTGTGCTCTCCCTTCACTCTGTTTCCTGTAGGTAATCACCTGACTGGTTGATCTTAGAGCCTGCTCTGGAATATTTCATTCCAGCCAGTATGCAGGTCCTACTCCTGTATCTGAGTTACTGTGCATATCTTTTTAACAGCCTTATTGAGATATAGGTCATGGTCCATAAAATTCTTTTTTTTTATACCATTCTTTTTTTTTTTTAATTAGTTTTTTTATTGGATGTTTTATTTACATTTCAGATGTTATCCCCTTACCCCATTTCCCCCTCTCTACCCAGGAACCCTCTATCCCATCCCCCCTCCTCCTGCTTCTATGAGGATGTGCCCCCCTACCTACCCCCCCCCACCTCTTCACCCTCGAATTCCCACACACACACACGGCATCCAGCCTTCATGGGACCAAGGATCTGCTCTCCCACCTATGCCCGACAGGACCATCCTCCCCTATATATACAGCTGGAGCTATGGGTCCCTCCCTAAGTGCTCCCAGGCTGGTAGTTTACACTCTAGGAGCTCTGGTTGGTTGGTATTGTTGTTCTCCTCATGGGGTCGCAAACCCTTTCAGCTCCTTCAGTCTTCACTCTAACTCCTCCATTGGGAACCCCATGATCAGTTCAATGGTTAGCTGTGAGCATCTACCTCTGAATATTTCAAGCTTTGGCAGACCTCTAAGGACACAGTTATGTCAGGCTCCTGTCAGCATGCACTTCCTGACATCCACATCAGCGTCTGCCTTTGGTGACTGCACATGGGATGGATACCCAGGTGGAATGGTCTCCAGATGGCCCCTCCTTCAGTTTCTGTCCCACGCTTTGTCTCTTTATTTGCTCCCTTGAGTATTTTGTTACTCCTAAGGGGGACCAAAGCACCTCCACTTGGTCTTCCTTCTTCATGAGCTTCATGTGGTCTGTGAGTTGAATCTTGGGCATTTCAAGGTAAGGCTTCTTCTAACCATTGCTTATTAAGAGAGGACATCCGGGTGTTAAGGCACTGAACTTTGCAGATGACCAATTGCAGGTCTCTGTCAGGATTGTGCCCAGCGTTCATCTCAGTAGTGCCAGGCTCAGAACCCATGCATTTTTGTTGCTAATAATTGTATCTTAAATTCTTTGTTTTAAACACACAGGCACTAGTTCCTCAGCCAAACGGAGTACTTCGGCTGGTAATAAAGAATCCAGTTCTACTAGAGAAAGATTACGTGAGCGCACCCGGCTAAACCAGAGCAAAAAACTGCCCTCTGTAAGTCAGGGAGCTAATGATGTGGCACTGGCTAAACGTTCACGCAGCCGCACCGCTACAGAGGGTGATATTCGAATGAGCAAGTCTAAGTCGGACAATCAGATCAGTGACAAAGCTGCTTTGGAAGCCAAGGTGAAAGATCTCCTCACACTGGCGAAAACCAAGGATGTGGAAATTTTACATTTGAGAAATGAACTCCGAGACATGCGTGCTCAGCTGGGCATTAGTGAGGACCATTGTGAAGGTGAGGACAGGTCTGAGGAGAAGGAAACCATTATTGCTCACCAGCCGACTGACGTGGAGTCTACGCTCCTGCAGCTGCAGGAGCAAAATACAGCCATCCGCGAGGAGCTCAACCAGCTCAAGAATGAGAACAGAATGCTGAAGGACAGGCTGAACGCTTTGGGCTTTTCCCTAGAACAAAGGCTGGACAATTCTGAAAAACTATTTGGCTATCAGTCCCTGAGCCCAGAAATCACCCCTGGCAACCAGAGTGATGGAGGAGGAACTCTGACGTCTTCAGTAGAAGGTTCTGCTCCTGGGTCGGTGGAAGATCTCCTGAGTCAGGATGAAAATACACTCATGGACCATCAGCACAGTAACTCCATGGACAACCTGGACAGTGAGTGTAGCGAGGTGTACCAGCCCCTCACTTCCAGCGATGATGCTCTGGACGCCCCCTCCTCTTCAGAGTCAGAGGGCGTCCCAAGCATTGAGCGCTCTCGGAAGGGGAGCAGTGGGAATGCCAGTGAGGTGTCTGTCGCTTGCCTGACGGAGCGGATTCACCAGATGGAAGAGAACCAGCACAGTACCAGTGAGGAGCTTCAGGCAACTCTGCAGGAGCTAGCTGATCTCCAGCAGATTACCCAGGAACTCAACAGTGAGAACGAAAGGCTGGGAGAGGAGAAGGTCATCCTGATGGAGTCTCTGTGTCAGCAGAGTGATAAGCTGGAGCACTTCGGCCGGCAGATTGAGTATTTCCGTTCCCTTCTGGATGAGCATCATGTTTCCTATGTCATAGATGAGGACGTAAAGAGCGGGCGCTATATGGAACTGGAGCAGCGCTACATGGATTTGGCTGAGAACGCCCGTTTTGAGCGAGAGCAGCTCCTAGGTGTTCAGCAGCATTTAAGCAACACTCTGAAGATGGCGGAACAAGATAACAAGGAAGCTCAGGAAATGATAGGTGCCCTCAAAGAGCGCAGCCACCACATGGAGCGGATCATTGAGTCTGAGCAGAAGGGCAAAGCGGCCCTGGCAGCCACGTTGGAGGAGTACAAAGCTACCGTGGCCAGTGACCAGATAGAGATGAATCGTTTGAAGGCCCAGCTGGAGAACGAAAAGCAGAAGGTGGCTGAGTTGTATTCTATCCACAACTCTGGAGACAAGTCTGATATCCAGGATCTCCTGGAGAGTGTCAGGTTGGACAAGGAAAAGGCAGAGACTTTGGCCAGTAGCCTGCAGGAAGATCTGGCTCATACCCGAAATGATGCCAATCGGTTACAGGACACCATTGCTAAGGTATTGCCCAAGTAAAGACGTTCTTGGTTAGCATTCTACAGCTGCCATATGTAGCATGCTTGTTGGGAAATAGAAGTGTGGCATTGCCTTTTAGAAATCATTCTCAAGTTTTAAAATGCACTACCTTACATAGAGTAAAACATTCCCTTACAGTATTGTCCTTGTCAGTCATTCCTCTTCTAGCATCTTCTTCCCTGACGGGCTGGAGTGCTGGGAACCATGCACTCAGAATTCCTTCTGAGCAGTGGATAGCTTTCCATCCTCATCTTTAATACACTGTGGCATAAGATAGATGCTGAGTCAGGAGTCCGGTCTTCCAGGATTGGCAGTGTCTGCTGCCTCTTGTCCTGGTAGAGTTTTTCAAATAACATTTTATTTTAATTCTGCTTTTAGAGTAGAGTTGCTCCTGTTTCTTGGATGTACAGGATTTATTGCTGACAAAGAACTTAGAGGTGATTCTTCTGGTCCCTCATCTCACAGATGTTCAGTGTGCTAGTAAAGACTTAGTCAGAATGGCTGACTAGGTTGCTGGTGTTGTTGTGAATCCTGAGTGATGTTTGAAGCGAATGTTTTTGTACAAATTATTTATTTATTCCATCCACATTTCATATATTTTAAAAATGTGTATGTGTTAATTTATGGCACATACATGTATACTCACAAAGGCCAAGGAGGATGTTGGATCCCTTGAAGCTGGAGTTACAGGCCGTTGTTGAGACTTGACGAGGGTGCTGGGAACTGAACTAGGTTGTCCAGAAGGGCAGGGGTGCTCTTGACTGCAGAGCATTCCCCGCCCAAGTGCAGTGAGTTTTAAAGGGAGAAGTGTTACTGCATCTGTGCTTAAACTCTGAATAACTTGTCTTTTAAAAAATTTAGTGATCGCTTTTAAAAAAAAAAACTTATTTCATATTTGTTTCAGGTGGGGGGGATTATGAATACATGCGTGTTAGGGTGCATCAGTCAGGACAACCTGTGGGAGTTGGTCTCTCCTATTATGGGAAGTTCCAAGGATCAGACTCAGCTCATTAATTTTGGCAGCAAGTGCCTTTACCTCTGGAGCCATCTTGCCAGTGTGCTAGTAATCACTTTTAGAGATATAATTCAGGAGATATATGTTGAGGGGCACTGTGAACCAGTACTTTGGTAAAGACTATTTGAAATGAAAATGTTATGTTGTACTTATTTTTGTATGTGCATATTGTGTCTATGTATGTATGTGCTATGTGTCACGTGAGGAGATTGGAGGATGATTTGGAGTCTGTTCTCTCTGTCCACCATGAGAGTTCTGGGGATTGAACTGAGGCTCTCTGGCTCGGCAGCAAGCACCTTTACCTGCTGAGCCATCTTGTTAGCCTTAAATGTTTTTATGGTTTCATTTTTGGCTTCGTTTTTTTTTTTCTATTATAAATACAGCATTTTTTTTTATAGAAGAGTGGGTAACATGGTAATTATTCATCAAACGTATACTTTAAGCCCAAACTTCGGAAAAGAGAAAATTTCTTCTAATTGCTTCATAAATAACTTGGTTAAGTTCAGTGATACATCAGTGTAACTTTAGTCAGTGATGTAGCAGGCTCCTGCTCAGAGGAGTCAGATGAAAACCTTGTGCAGTGTAGTGCTGGTCCCCACGTGGTAACAGTGCTCGGACAGGTTGTCAGTCTGTCCGTAGCTGTTCATGCTCAGCTTCCGTGTCTAACGGTAAGTACTTTGTTTGTAGAGTTTATCCCAAAACAAGTCTCCTTTTAACTTGTTTAGGTAGAAGATGAGTACCGAGCTTTCCAGGAAGAGGCCAAGAAGCAGATTGAAGATTTGAATATGACGTTAGAAAAACTGAGATCAGAGCTGGAGGAAAAAGACACGGAGAGGAGCGACATGAAGGAGACCATCTTTGAACTTGAAGATGAGGTGGAGCAGCACCGCGCTGTGAAGCTCCACGACAACCTCATCATCTCTGATTTAGAGAGTAAGTAAGGTCCTGTCTGCCTCCCCCCCCCCCAACATCCCCCCACCCCCCCCCACCGTGTGCTCGAGTATTCCACGGTGGAGATGGTAGTTCTGACTGGCATGGGATGGACACAGTAGCATGCTGACCTACAGAAAGACACCTTTGACTGAGGTGCCTCACACCTTAGTTGGGAAACTTTGGGTCACTATGTTTTGTTCTCATAGAAGCGTTACTGGAATATTGTATCTAATTAATGAGAATCTCTGAGGTGAAAAGCTAACAGTCATTTATTTTCCAGACCGTAAGAAAAGCCATTAATTTACTTTTAGTGATCGCAAATGAACAGAGTTGAAAACAAGTGCTAATCCTGAAGCCTCCTGATCACGGAACACAGGGTTTTTTGTTTTTAAATTTATTTGATTTTTTTTTTATTACTCTGAGGATTTTGTGTCATAGTAGAATGAAACCTGCATTTTAAAGTTTCATTGTACTCTGCATGAATAGATTTTTCAATTTATTTTGTAGTTATTTTGGATTTGTAAGAAAGTCGAGGAATCAGAGTTTTATATGAACCTAATCTATTTTCTCATGAATTGTTTATTGATTACAAGAAAGAAAAGAAACTATAACTCCTTATGCGGTAGGGAAAGCTGAGTGGTGCTTTGGGTTTTCATGTCATAGAGGCACATGATACTGTGCAGAGCCCAAGTGAGGGCTCTTCTGACTGAGGCACACACCAGCCACAGGGAAGCAGTAGCCAGACAGCTTGAGGACGTGCTAGTAGCAGAGGTGTGGAGGCTGCTGCAGCCCTAAAGACATCCGTGTCATGAAAGAGAAAGGCTGTGGAAAGGTCCCAGATAGAAGAAGACTCAGAGACATGATAATTAGATATAATACCCACGTCTAGACAGGTCCGTCACTACAGGGGGATGATAGAAAGGCATGAATCAAAAATTGAGTTGTACAGGCTAAGAGATTAAAGATATGCTAATAATACATTTAGGAAGTTGATAATTACACTATGTTTACATAAAATATCCCTGTTCTTAGAAACCACACTGAGCTTTTCAGGTGAAAGGCTGTGATTACTATAATCCCAAGGAATTCTGGGAAAAAGTTAGGTTGATGGGTAGATACAGAAATAAGTGATGGCAGCTGATAGGACAAGTGAGTTCTATTCCTAGTGCCTTTTGTGTGACGCTGGGGATGAAGGTCGGGCCCTTCTCCATGTAAACTTCACATTCTCACCCCTGAGCTCCATCCTCACTTTTCTGTACCTTTATGTTACAGCCCTAGAGACAGGCAGAGTGAGTGGAGTAGCCGTTGCTGATGCATTAAAGTCTTTCAGATAATTGTGTGTATGCAGTGCTCCTTCAGACACTCTCAGCTCATTGTTTCTTGACAGAGTGCTGGTTAGCAAGTATAGCATTGGGCCTACCGCTAGGTTGATGGGGACATTGGACATACTTTGAGAAGAGCCGGTCATTTGTGAGAAGTTTTCAGGCTAGAACTTGGGAACTCTAAGTTTTGGTTAGCTGATTGTGAACCTGGATTGACCAAGGTTTTGTTGAACATTCTGGGGCTTCTATTAAAGTAGTCAGTGGTAGGACTGTCTTTTTTTAAGAAGATGATGTTGTGACTGCCATGAAATTTCTCATCCACCACTTAACCCTTCAGGGTGATCTTAGTGACTCCTCCTCTGTGGTCCAGTGCTCAGTCGTGAGCCACAGAGCTCTAAGCTGTCTTCAGGCACTGCGACAGTAAGGTCTTGTCTCAGAGTCAAAGACCAAACAATGAAAGAACTTTTAGCACTTATATTTGGTTTTTAAAAAAGTATAACATTTTTTCTTTTTAAATTGTATATATGTGTGCCTGTCTGTATGTGGACTAGATGTCCAAGCAGCCCAGAGGAGGGTGTCAGCCCTGGAGCTGGAGATCCAGGTGGTCGCGAGCGGGTCTGACACGGGTTCTGGAGACCAAACTGGGTTCTTCTGGAAGAAGAGCAAGCAATCTGAACTGCTGAGCCATCTCTCTGGCCCTGGATTTACTATATATTTTGTATTTGTGAGAATTTATTTAATTCACCTTTTTAATTATACATTTTAAAGTTTTTATTAGTACATATTAATTTTACATGACAGTGTTCCACTTAGACACTTTGATATGCGCGTATATCTTGACCATAGTCACATTACCCCATTGTCTGCCTCCTGCTTCCCTCTTCCTCTTCTCAGCCAGTGTGTGTACCAGTGAGTTCTGTTACGGTTACTTACAGGAATGTAGGTGGAATTTTTTAAAAATTAGGGCTATTTATAGGCTTATAGGTGAGCCATCCATAGTTACACTACTGAAGAAAATGCCCCTTCCCCCAGCCAGTAGTATTTTATAAAGCTTCAGAGAAGGGTGGGGTAATTTTATGTCTTGCTTGTAAGAAGTGTTACCATTTTTCAGAGTAACTTTGGAAGCTCCTTGTACTCTCTGTTGGGTACATGGGTGCTGCCCTGTTTCCCATGCAGTCAGTCCTTGTGGTTTTGCTCATGGGCAGGAGTGACATCTTGTGGTAGCTGGGGCATTAGCTAGGAAAATGTTAGATGATGAAGATCCTGGGGGAAAACTTTACAAATCATTCATTTTTCACATACGAATTTTAACTAGAAAATGACCAAAAATTTTGAGTAATTAAAAAAAAATTTATAGCTTCTTTTACAACTTTTTAAGATAAGTTCAAATATGCATTAGTATTAGAAGAATAACTATTACCTAGTACTTATATTACCTTTGTATGTATATGTTGAACTATTTAATGTTAACCCTATGATGTTTAATTCTTAAATATTTAAACGTAATTTCTAAAAGAAGATTTTCCTGAGCACTTCTGGCAAAATGATTCTTAGTTTTCTTTTTTTTTTTTTTTTTTTTTTTTAAAGATTTATTTATTTATTATATATGAATACACTGTAGCTGTCTTCAGACACACCAGAAGAGGGCATCAGATCTCATTACAGATGGTTGTGAGCCACCATGTGGTTGCTGGGATTTGAACTCAGGACCTCTGGAAGAGCAGTCAGTGCTCTTAACCACTAAGCCATCTCTCCAGCCCCTTAGTTTTCTAGTATCAAGTAATAGCTCATAATTAGATTCCTCCGTCTGTTATCAAAATGTTTCTTTATAGCTTTATTTACTCCCAGGTTTTAGTAACTAATTTTTGATAGTCCTACAGATCGATCCCAGGACCTCATGCTAAGCAAGCTTTCTACTGGCTTTATATAATCATTTCTTTGGGATATTATTGACCTTAGACCAGCTTCAGACTCACCGCCCTGTGCCTCTTAGTTTCTGTGTTTAGGATTATAGGTGTATACTACCCCACTCTCTTTTTCTCTTTTACATAATAGCTAGTATCTAAACGAATTTTATACTTTATGTTAGATCTCTAGAGTTATAGTGCAGTTACTTTTTCTCTGGAATTTGATGGCAATTAATTTTTTTCCTAGAAAATTCTTGTATTTGGAGTTAACTCAACACGTGATACATGAATTTGTGCTGTTTGGGAAAGCAAGATTTCTTCTGTGGAATATTTTAACAAGCTTACAACCTCTTCATTAGCTTCCACATAAGCCTTATAATTTCATAGTAGCCACTCTTCAGTCACCCCAACATAAACCTCATATTCAATAGTAGTCGTTTCTCAGTCACCCCAAGATAAACCTCAAGATAACCCCCATTTGACCTCAATAGTAATTGTTCCTCAGTCAACTCAAGATAAATTCTTGACCTTGGAATTGGTATGTAGGATTTTACAACCGCTCGTGGGCTCAAGAATGGAGGAAAAGTCACTCAGAATGAAGGGGCATATGGAAAACTACAAAACAGAACCAGTGTAAATGCCTTAGCATTTAAGCCAGAAAGGTGTGATGTAAACTCAGAACTCCCAGTTCAGAACATGGCTTCAGGTCACCATGTCTTTCCTTTCCCTAAAAGAATAGGAATGAAATGTAAAGCCTCAGTAGAGCTGACGCTGAGAAGAAAACGGTTGGCTTGTGCTGGTGGGTCAGTAATTTTGAGTAATTTCTGGAAAGCATAGAGTCAGAGATGTAGAGCAATAAAACAGAAGAGAAAAGCCTCCAGTCCAGGAGAACAGTGAGGCTTGGAGGAATGATGTTCCCAGCAAGCTTTGTGTGTCAGGAAACATATGACTAAAACTGCCTGCTCAGGCTGGGCACTGGGCTGAGGTCCCCCACTTACCTGCCTACTTTTGCTTATTTGCTTCTGAGCCTGGATTCTGTGGATCAAGGAATAGAATGTATGCCAGGGTTCTTTGAATGGCCTTGGCTACCATGTTGTCTGGGAGAGAGAGCCACATAGACCCCGCTGTGAAATGGACGCACCTCCCAGCACTGGCTAGGGTCCAGTCCTCCTGTTGATGTGTCATCGGCAGAGCTTTTACTAGTTGCTGTACTAGAGAAGCCTGTTGACACCTGCAGTTGCTAAGTGATGTGTATAAGTCACCAGTACTTGTTCTTTATAAGAAACATCCGTGAAGACTTAGTGGACATTTTATCATCTTAAAAAAGAAACAGCTGACTAAAGAAAATCAACTAAAGAGCACTCCAGATACAGCTAGGGATTTTGTCCCCGATCTAGCAAAGCTGATTCCTGTTGTGGGTGTGATGGTGAAGCATGCCTTTATAATCCCAGCATAGGCAGGTGATCTCTATGAGTGCAGGACAAGCCTGGTCTAAATATAGAGTTCCCGGCCAGCCAAGGCTATGTAGTCAGACCCCATCTTAAAGTGATAGTGATGACAAGGATGACGGATGCTGATGCTGATCCTGATGTGGTGATGGTTGGTGATGATGATAATGATGACGACGGTGATGATAGAAGAGTAGCATCAGTTGAGTCTGAGGAGCTGGCTCAGAGGGTAAGAACTTACTCTGTAAGCATGAGGACCTGAATGTAAACCCTAGCAAAAGAAAACAGAAAGTTGGATATGGCTATGCAAGCATGAGAGAGCA